TTAATCTATTATATAATGAAACTGTAGTGACGGTAAGACAAGATTAGAATAGTGGCTAGTAGAATAATTCAAGCTGTTTCTACTCGTGTATCTATTGCACTTGTGTGTTAGGTTAGCTGTTAAGGAGCTAATCAGGAGAATGATCATTAATGTATGATCGTAAAGTGTAAAAGTGCTTCTACAATAGGTAATGTTGCATCTGGATATGTCACCAAGGTATAAAGTGTCTGAACCTATAATTTCATTTTGACAAAGCTATATAATTTTTACTAATACCTCATGAATTGAAAAGACACAGTAGTTATGACATTGGCTTGGCACCAGTTGGAAGAAGTTTGATACCTTCCCTTATTATACATTTATGTAAAAAGATTCTTCAAATGTATGATATGGGGGGGCATTCATGTAGTCATTTGAGATAAGCAGTTAATTCCACTATTGCTATTTGTGGCTTAGATGCAAATTCCCCTCAAATTATGAAAATTATTGTTACTGCTGATAGTGAAATGAACGAACATATGTTGGATGAGATCGTATTTCATGCTGTGTACATATCTGGATGATCAGAGTGAGCTGGTGGCACTCTTGAAAAGTAAAGAAAGTGTGGTGGGAAAGGCTAATTTATTTTGTGTTTACAAAATAAATTTTTGCTCAGGTTAAGTTAAACGTCTGAAAATAATGGGAGTTGGTGAGTAAATCCTCCTATAATGCTTCAATCGATAAGACATAATGAAATTATGCTAATACACAGTATGCATCCTGGAGAAAAAAAAACCCAAGGATCAACTAGCTAGAAGTTAAGTCCTGTCAGGACTCCTACTGTGAATAAGAATATAAAACATAAAGCTCAGAGTATGGCTGGTAATCATTTAATATTTCCCCCATGGAGGGTTGTTTGTCAACTAAATAATTTAACTCTTACAGATTGCCATGTCTGTAAGAGTCAAAACATGCTCATGTGTTGACATCTATGCCGACTCTGCACATATAATGAACTTGTGCAATTAAAGTCTAAAAATCCAATGGAAAAAAATAAAAACAAATTAAAAAATAAAAATACAGAACATCTGCTCTCAGCCCAAACCTACAGAATCAGAATCAAAATGGGTACCTTAACAAAACACAAAGGTAATTTGCATGCACATTAAAGTTTGAAGGGCACCACTCTAGACATTAAAATTCATTTACTATAACCACTATATATCTATTCAAATGACAAGCAGCAAAGTCAGTTAAAAATTAAAGAAACTATCTGAAAACTACTTAACAGTTATTCATTCTCCTCCAAGAATTCAGTCTGAACCACTGAAATGATCAAATGTGTATGTGTGGTCGAGGCAGAGAGGGTCTCTTGAGGAGTTTATTATTGTATAAAACCTAATCAAAATCAATTAATATCTTTGAAAGCAACTGTAAAAGAAATAAATTCCAAGTTGTCTGGTTAAAATACAGACATCATTTGACATACTCACTAGCATTAAAGATAAAGATACTGACACAATCAACTGACATAAAGTTGTTACTCAATAAATTCAACCTATTGTAAAACTATTATCTAGAAACTAAAGACAAAACAAAATCCTGCTTCCTCACTCTAAAAGCATTTGCTTTTCTACCTGTAAATGTCATACTGTTTCATTATAATCAATCAAAAGGCATAAAGTAGTATAACAGAAACGGGACTACATTAATCAGGATAAGCCATCAATAAACACATGGGGACAACTTTTGAGGAAAGCTTAGTCTTATAACCCTAAATAAAGGGAACAGTATACAAAAAGAAATCTGGGCAATAATTTTCCTCCAATATGGGCCAGGGGCAGGAAGTGTAAGAACAGCTGACAGAAATACATTGGTAGCTTGAGCAAATTTAAAACACCTTCTATAATATCCTTACTAGCTCTAAGATTCTGTTTTCTATTTAATTTCTCTAATAAACTTCTCATCTGGGAAGAAAATGGTGACCTACTAAAGACCTCAAAGAGCGATTCATTTAAAATTACCAAGAATATACCCATTATATGTAACACAAAAATCCTATTTTCTGTGAAAAATAACCATATTTTCTAGAACAACAAAAACTTAGGAAGAATACTGGCACTGTTTTACAGTTTTGCAAATACCTTTAATGTTTGGGTTTGTAGAAACAGATGAATTATTCACTTCTACATTCAGTGTTCTACAATGTTATTTTGTTTTTTTGTTGTTGTTGTTGTTGTTTTTAATTTTTATTTATTTATGATAGGCACACAGTGAGAGAGAGAGAGGCAGAGACACAGGCAGAGGGAGAAGCAGGCTCCATGCACCGGAAGCCCGACGTGGGATTCGATCACGGGTCTCCAGGATCGCGCCCTGGGCCAAAGGCAGGCGCTAAACCGCTGCGCCACCCAGGGATCCCTACAATGTTATTTTGGTTAATTTACACAAATATATAGGCTTATAAAATATGTAGCTGGGAAAAGGAGTAGCATTTTAACAGACTTTTCAGGTCTGTGGATATTGTTTTTTGATACTACACCAGAGTCAATAAAATAGTTAATTATAACATTAATGTGGAAACTGAAAGCACATCAATAAACATTTTGATCTGTTATATTAAAATCCCTAATTCTGACCTTGCATTTTGAATGGATCTTTTTCACATGCATTATTTTTTAACACCATGCATTAACCATCTGGAAAGTGTTTGTTTACTGAATTAATGTAAATCTTTTCTAAATGTTGACACATTTCATTACATAAAATTTCTTAAGAATCAGATCTGTTAAATAACCACTAATCTCATCAGAAAATTGTTTTAAGAATAATAAAGTTGTCAAGGTCATGGTAGCAGGTATGTTCTCCAAAATTCTAATTTTCACTTAGTACATTTTATCACTGGCAACAAATACTGTCGTCATTGCAGTGAGAGATTCACTTTAAGAAACTGTCTTACAAATATCCAAGTCTGAATAAACACACTTTGTATCAGTCATTCTTTCAAATAAAAAATGGTGTTTTATGAAAAAAGTGGCTTGTTCACCTTGACCTCAAACAAGGGCATAAATAAGTGCTTTTCCTTAAGACAATCATCACAGTTGACATACAGCAGGGTGCTTTATATGTACCCTCCATTTCAACACATAGGAGATTAAAAAGACATGTACTGAAGAGTTAAGATTAATATTAATCAGTAATTTGTACTGCTTCATCCAGAACAGTCTTAAGTGACACTGATGTTCTTCCTACTGTTAAGTGTGTGGCAGTGAAGAATAAAATAACCACTTGCACAGTGTGGTGCACTACCCGGCTTTCTGCTTTGGTGCCAAGAGTTTTACCCACCACCTCTTTTGCAGATCAGTACAAACGTAAACACAGAGGAAAGGGTAAACAGCATCTTATTATTATGATGGAAACAGATGGAAACAGATTTGACCTCAGGGATCCTTTGAAAGAGCTTTGGGTACCCCTATGGATCCACAGACTGCTTACACTAAAACAAGCATAACAATTCTAAGTCTTTCGGGATCCCTGGGTGGCGCAGCGGTTTGGCGCCTGCCTTTGGCCCGGGGCGCGATCCTGGAGACCCGGGATCCCACGTCGGGCTCCCGGTGCATGGAGCCTGCTTCTCCCTCTGCCTGTGTCTCTGCCTCTCTCTCTCTCTCTGTGACTATGATAAATAATAAATAAATAAATTCTAAGTCTTTCCTATTATTATTACAATCTACTGATTCAGTCAGTCAATAATTACAGAGGGTTTGGTATGTAGTGCCAGGTAGGTACTATAAAGTGTCTCAGTGTTTGTCTTTGTGTCATTCACTCATGTATCTATCCCAAGCTTCTAGAACAGTGCCTGGCTGGTGCACAGCAGGTTTCTGATATTTGTTGAATCAATAAATAAATGGGCAGCTATGATATATTTTAACCTAGATTCTAAATGCTTAGAATGCATCTCTCTCATATAAATAATTATGGAAATTATTTTTCAACATAATGGGAAAAACTAACATGTTTTTCAATATGGAAACCTCTACAGTCATTATACTTGGAGTAGTTTTATCTTCATACAGGTCTAAACTTAAATTATTATATATACAGGCAGTCTTTGCTTTGCATGGTACCATGGTAACTGAAAGTCATGCACATCAGAACCATATCCTCACTTTGGTTCCATGGTAACTAAATTCTGTAGTAACATGGTACTGTGCAAAGCACATTAGTATAATGCCAATGACCCATACACTCAATTTTAGCAAAATGGGAAGGAAAGTATCTTAGGAAGAATGGGTGAACAACCTTTGGGCAGTGACTGAATGAGTGCCCCCTACAGGAAAGCAAATTAGACACCTAAAATGACTTTTCAAGTTCTTAACATGCTTCACTCCCACAATCCATCGCCCTTTGAGAATCACTGCCTGGTGATGAACTAATAGAGGTATTTCAATCCTTCAGTGGTATTTGTGAATTGCTTAGGGAGCAAGACCTGAAGAATCAAGGCGGTAAAGGGGAAAGACAGACTACTTTATGAACTATTAGGACAATATTAAGTTACAATAAATCTGGACTGGTCTTAAAAACTACAGGAACTGAAATTTCTCAAAACATACGCAGATCAAGCCTTTGGACTTCTGTGTCCTAACCCTTCTCACAATTCAATCATAAAAGCCTTAGAGTTACTCAACAGTATTAAGTTGTACTCCTCCCCACTCCCATGCCCACATCTAAACTCAGGATTTTATTCTTCCTATTTGATTTTTTTAAATGAATATATAAATATTCCAAAATACTACAAATTTTAAACATAGTGTACTCAGCTCCAGCAAATAGGCATTTATACATTAAGTGTTTAAATGGCTCTGCCAAGAGTTAGGAATAAACTCAAAGATATATGTATGAACACTAGCGGCAGCTTAGCATTAAAAAAAAGTGTCATAGGAGAAGCAATATACAACTTCACTTAAAAAAAAATTCTACTCCAAGTCTACTTACTGGAGAAATGGGAAATGCTATTTAAACTATACCTTAAAATGTACTGTGATGTTCCAAGGAAGAGCTGAACTTGATGCAAGAAGATCAAATAGCAAACCAATTGGATAATGCCTAAAAATGAAAGAGTACGTTTTAAGAAAGATATTTTAAAGTTATAACTACAACTCCAAAATAAATTTCAGCACATATTGTAACATCAAATATCAGGGGCCTTTACCCACAAATCACAGGACACAGTTAACTGCCTAAGCTAATATGGTAGAGTTTCCCTGTATCAGTTTTCTTCTAAGGATTTCATTCCCCAATGAAACCTCAATATACATAATGGAATTGTGCCAAAGCATCTTTTATCAGCCATGACAACTGTTAGATCACAGTACTGCAGTATCTGATTATTATCCCAGTATTCACATTGGACAAGTTTTTTAAAGCTTAAACATTCTAAAAAAATTTTTTAAACCTAAAATATTAGAAAATTTTAAGAACTAAGAAAAGCACCTCAAAAAGGCATGCAATCATCCCTTTTGTGGTTATTACTATTAACACTATAGAATGTCTTTTATTTATGCATATATATATATATAAATATAGATTAGGCTTCTTTTACAAAACACCATAACCTGTTTTTTTTCATAAAACAGCACATCAACATTTTCCAAAGTCATTGAATACTTTTCTACAACCTCAGACTAAAGTTTTTTACAAAAACAAATTTTGGACTTCCTAAATAAGAGAAGATTTCCTAATATAATCATTACAGTGAAGCATATTATTTAGCAATAAACAAAGGTTGATAATACAAACCTTGCAGATTTCAATGAACAAATCTTATATGTTAAATCATCCTTTTAAAGAATCTAAAGTGGCTTAAATAATGAAACAGAATTAAACAATACTTCCAATAAGCACAAAAAGAAGACTACTTGGTGTCATGTACAGTCCTGTTCTCTTGATGTTAGTGAGTTACTCCTAGATTTAGAAGCTGAAAAATTTGGCAATACATCTAATTCCCCTCAAAAATGAGTGACCAAATACATTGCCTAATCAAGATTCAAATATTAACTAATATTAGTTATTTTTGCTTACATCTACATAATACAATTATAAAAATCACTAGAGATCATGTATTATTTAGAAAGAATTTAGAATGAATGCCCTGCTAGTAAAATAAAAGGTGGGTATTTTTAGTCATGTATGTGTTGTATCTCTTAATAATAACCCTTAAACTACTCTTATTTGAAAGTTGGCGTCTAACACGAATCTTTCAAAACCAAATATGAATACTGAAGGAAATTTTGGACCAAGTAATAGAATTATTCATTCAGAAACATTTCAGAAACTAGAAAAAATCCTTGGTCAAAAATTAAAATAAAAATAATATTCTGAAAAACAAAAATACTGCATTACATAAAGTTATACATTCTATCCAACTCTGGTCCTTCTCTCTGAACTTCCTAAAATTGTACAAGCTTTACATAATGTCTTGCATTATTACAAAAACAGACTTTTTTAGTCCTCATTCTATTCCAGGAACTCTATTTCATTATTCTAGGAATTATTTAATATTATTTATCAATTATTCCCAACTATACTTAAAAAAAGGGCATCTGGGTGGCTCAGTGGTTGAGTGTCTGCCTTTGGCTCAGGACGTGATCCCGGGGTCCTAGGCTCGAGTCCCACATTGGGCTCCCCATGAGCTTCTCCCTCTGCCTGTGTCTCTCCCTCTTTCTCAAATAAATAAATAAAATCTTAAAAAAAAAAAAAAGATGAAAATAGTAACAATTTGGAAAAATAATGGCATCCTAGAAGGATGATACAATATTGTGTCCTTCCATTTTCTCATTGTTTCATCTAAAATATTACATCAGGGACATCTGGGTGGCTCAGCGATTGAGGGGCTGTCTTTGGGTCAAGTCATGATCCTGGGGTTCCAGGATCAAGTCCTGCATTGGACTCCCTGCATGCATGGAGTCTGTTTCCCCCTCTGCCAATGTCTCTGCCTCTCTCTCTCATGAATAAATAAAATCTTTTAAAAAATGAAATAAAATAAAATATTACATCATATTTCAAGGAAGTATAAAGTAAGGATGTAGACCCCATCTTTGGAGTCTGTTTTTATCTATCTTAATACAGCTGAAAATTCAAAATGTCTTATTTTCCATGCATAATGGGAAAGAAAGGAAAATTGACAAGGGAAGATGTTACTCAATTATTAGATAAATCAGAAGGTTTTTACAGAGACAGCAGTACTTTAGACTTTAATGACAGTGATAAAATTGATCATGTAATTGAAATCTCAGACTATGAGTCATGAGATGATATTCTAGGTGAATTTTCCAGAATTCAAAAACTAATGAATGAACAATATATTTCTAAAGACATGGCATTCTTATCCACTTAGTTATTTAATGGCAATAATTTCATCATATATTATTTTATGACAAGAACCTGGACTACTAGGTTCAAAAGATGTGTGATAGGATTTTTTTTTTTATCTTTTATGCTATTTGTGCGCCGCAATTTACCTAATAGTAAGTGATCAAGAGCTAAAGGCAGATTTGTACTAAAGATGACTGGAAGGAATTATATGATGTAGAAATGAACAAGTACTGAACTGCTCATTCTAATTGGTGATTACTAATGTAAACAAATATTTTACCACAAAATCATGACCTGTCAAAAGTTTAAAAATTTCTTCAAGCATAGCTGGTAAGTGCAAGAGCCAGAAGTCACAATACGTTAGAACCTCTTATAGATCTATGTGAATGCATGACAACGAATGAGTAGTTGTATTCAGAAGACATTGTCCATTTCTGGTATCTATACTTTTAAACCCAGGAAAATATGGAATATAAATCTGAATTTGCTGTATCTAAATGCTTTTTAAAACTGCTAATAAGTTGTCACTATTCCATTATACTTCTCTTAGTTATTTACAAAATGACTTAAGTAGGGTGCCTGGGTGGCTCAGTCTGTTAAGCATTTAACTTTGGCTCAGGTCATGATCCTGGAGTCCCAGGATCAAGCCCAGCATCGGGCTCCCTGCTTAGTGGGGAAGATGCTTCTTCCTCTCCCTCTGCCCCTCCCTCTGCTCCTACTCTCTCTCTCTCTCTCTCTCAAATATATAAATAAAATCTTTAACAAAAAATGACAAGTATATATAATTTTTTAAAGTTCACTGGTCTCTGACAGTAAATGATAACTCTTTTTTTCTGAATATACTAAAGATTAGGATGAAATTTAAGTATAATAGTTTCTAATACTTACATTTAATTACAAATGTGTGTAAAGTATTAACACAAAATCATTCTAAAATATAATTACAGGGGATCCCGGGGTGGCGCAGCAGTTTAGCGCCTGCCTTCGGCCCAAGGCCTGATCCTGGAATCCCAGGATCGAGTCCCACATTGGGCTCCTGGCATGGAGCCTGCTTCTCCCTCTGCCTGTGTCTCTGCTCCTCTCTCTCTCTCTGTGTCATGAATAAATAAAAATCTTTAAAAAAAAAAAAAAAGAAATGTTTAAAATATAATTACCAATAATTATCCTGTAATAATCTTTAAAAATAAAACTGCACCAGAAAGAACTATTTTCTTTACATATAGACTTCTATTATCAAAATCTGTATGTATAGCTTTTATGTGGCTCAATGTAGATGTTTATGTCAGAATGATTTTGATGCAGATACTAACTCTAAACAAATATACCACCTGAATTAACTGGTTCCAAGAGTGCTTATTTCTGATGAGTCTATTAATATGCAAGAAAGGGCAGCCCCAGTGGCTCAGCGGTCTAGCGCTGCCTAGCACTGCCTTCAGCCCAGGGCGTGACCCTGGAGACCCGGGATCAAGTCCAGCGTCCAGCGTCGGGCTCCCTGCATGGAGCCTGCTTCTCCCTCTGCCTCTCTCTCTCTCTCTCTCTCTCTCTCTCTCTGTCTCTAATGAATAAAATCATTTATTTAAAAAAATATGCAAGAAAATATTTAACAGAAAACAGAATTGGCAAAAATTAAAGGTACTGAATCTCTCTTACACTATAATCTGATTTACATCAAGGGTTTCAAAAGTACTAATTTGTACAACTCCTCTAAACAGATATTCTACATAGTTTTGTCAGGAGGCTCCTAACCCACAACATAGAAACCACATAAGCCATAACTGTAAGTAAATCATAATGTAACCATTTAACTGTTATGTTGCTCTCCTGCCAATCTAACCTAAATTTAACAAAAAGGAAGTGGTGAGGATATGAACCTGGAATATATCCCAGAAGAAGATCCAACTAGTAAAGGTTCAATCTACTGCCCAATAAAAACTGACTGTACCAGAATAGTCTTAGGTCTATTTTCACATTTTATTCATTTTCTTTCTCTTCCTTAAACTGCTCTAGTCTATTCTAAATTCAATTCTCAAAATGAGTAATATTTTCATTTTTCTTTGCATAAGCTGTATCTTCTTTACCCTTTCATTACTGCTAAAATACATACACACATACTGGCCACATGTATAGCAATAACGGATATGTTCCTAAGTCAGCCAAGGGTGCTCTCAGTAGTTTAAACATCTGCAGTCATATTGAGCAAAGCAACATTGTAACACAGCATTGAAAGAAAGCTCCCCATATATTAGAGAGAACTATTGTCCTACTCCATTTCACTGAAATAAATGCATCATATTCATAAGCCTACTAGTGATTCACTGGAAACAGGATTATATTTCACTGAATAAAAAAGGGTGCAAATCGGGGTGCCTGGGTGGCTCAGTCAGTTAAGCATCTGACTCTTGATCTCAGCTCAGGTCTTGATCTCAGGGTCGTGAGTACAAGCCCCACATTTAAAAAATAGTAATAATAAAGCATGCAACTTAAATGTACACCGAAGTAATTTAATGATTACAATCAATTTTGCCTTGCTTTACCTATAGAACACAAACAATTGTAAATTACCACTGTGTTTCACAGCTTTCTAAACCTACTCTTATGCATGAAAAAGTACAAAAATACTCAAGGTAATACTACATGTCTCAAACTCAAAGTAAACCACATTTCAAATTCAAGTTTAGAGAATTTATAAAATTTTAGAAATTCAGGGGATGCCTGGGTGGCTCAGTGGATCCGGGATCGAGTCCCATATTGGGCTCCTTGCAGAGAGCCTGCTTCTCCCTCTGCCTATGTCTCTGCCTCTCTCTGTGGGTCTCTCATGAATAAATAAATAAAATCTTTTTTAAAAAAAGAAAAATTTTAGAAATTCACAACCTTAGAAAAAAGACAAGCCATAGAGAGAAGAGTATTTATGATTAAGAAGTTATTTGTTAAAATTTACTTTTGAAACCAGATAGATACAGTATTAAATTCTGGGTCATTCTGTTATGTCTATGTTTAAAATTAACATCAGTGTTTGTTGCTTTTTTTTTTTTTTAAATTCTAAAGGTAGTTTCAACTTCTTTCTTTCAACAACCAGTCCTGAAAATAAGTCAGGTTATACAAAATAATAATAATATTCTATTAGTGACACTTGCTTTTATAGTTGACAAAAAAGAAAGGCTTTTTCTAAAATTTATAATGAAGGCCTAAGATATAACCAATATTAGAGCACATAAACAAAGTGTTCTTTAAAAGAACTAGGAACTGTTCTCTTGAAATAAGTCTAATATAAAAGTAACAAATACAAACTTTGAACATTTAATTTATGGTAAAAAGAACCATCACCTTTTAGAATGCAATGTTAGAGCACCCTCTGGTGACTAATGAACTCAAATCACTCTAAAAAAAAAAAAATCCTTGCATTGAGTTAGATCAGCACTTTCTATTTGCCCTGTAATTTTTAAAATTTAAGGAAACAAAGGACCGTAGAGGATAAAACCCCCTCAGATTCTCTATACGAATCAACAATATATTAAGTATTCATTATGTGTATACCACTGTTCTTAAATATCTTTCAATTCTAATATGGACAAATAAGATAAGCAATTTAGAGAGAACATACAGATTTGAAGAAAATAACAACTAACAAGTACAATATCAGCAGGTGTGGTGAAAAGAGCCCTGAACTGAGACTTTCAAAATCTGGTCCTAGTCACTCATTCGAGCAAGTTTATTTTATATATTTGAGCCTCATTTTCTCAATAAAAAGAAGGGACTAATTTAAATTCATTCACCCACTGAATAAACATTTACTTCGCACCTCTTATGTACTATTGCTTAAGGTACAAAAGCCCGGGATCCCTGGGTGGCGCAGCGGTTTGGCACCTGCCTTTGGCCCAGGGCACGATCCTGGAGACCCGGGATCGAATCCCACGTCGAGCTCCCGGTGCATGGAGCCTGCTTCTCCCTCTGCCTATGTCTCTGCCTCGATCTCTCTCTCTCTCTCTCTCTCTCTCTGTGTGACTATCATAAATAAATTTTTAAAAAAATTAAAAAAAAGGTACAAAAGCCCATGCTCAAATATCTCATGCAGATATTTAAACAATTATAATAATAAATACGAATAGCTGGAGTTACAGAGTAAGAAGGAATTTCAATTTATGTTCTTTCTTCTTTTATGAATTGTCTAAACTGGTATTTGATTTCCTTTCTCACCTGGATTTATTTAAAACTCCAAAGAATCAAGTGTAAGAAAGATGTTATCACCCTATTCACATAACTGCTCCTCTACTCTTAAGACACGTGCATGGTCTCAAAAGTCCAAGTACTACAAAATTTCAGGGGTAGCTCCTTCCCTATAATGATTATCCTATCATATGAAGCCCACTGCTTAAATGTCAGGTAGATATTGATAGTTTATGACTCCTTTAACACAGGAAGAGGACTCCTTTAACACAGGAGAAAATTGCTATAGTTGGGAGCAAAAAGAGAAAAGATCAAGACTTAGCTTAGAGGTCCTGGATTACATTCATGCCTCTGGAAGCTATTCGTCCATCAAATATATGGAGTACCTAACAATGTAGTAGTTGGTCCCCCTTATCCACGGGGGATATGTTCTAAGACTGCCCCAGGTATGCCTGAAACCGCAAGTAGTACCAAACTCTACATACACTGTTTTCTCGTAAACATACATACATACATACCTATGATAAAGTTTCATTTATAAAGTAGGCACAGTAAGAGACTAACAACAACTTACAATTATAACAAAATTTATAATAAAAGTTATGTGAATGTGTTCTCTCTCAAAGTATCTTACTGTACTATACTCACCCTTCTTGTGATAATGTGAAATGATAAAAATGCCTACGTGATGAGGTGAGGTGAATGACATAAGCATTATGACATAGTGTTATGCTACTACTGCCAACCTTCTAACAGTATGTCAGAGGAGGATCATCTCCTTCCAGATCGTGGCTGACTGAGGGGAAATGAAATAACAGGATGCAAAACCACAGATAAAGGGGGGAGTACTGTACTAAAGGAAAAGTTTTATCAAAAGTCATTAAATACAACAAGCTCATAGCAACACGTAACTATAAAAGTGGTATCACGCATAAAACATTAACACCTCAAAACCTAAAACAAAGATAGTGAACACGATTACTTTCACATAAGCTCTCTAAAAGGAAAAATAATTTTTTTACTCTTTAATAAAAGACTCTCCGATAAATACTGACAAAGTAAGAACATTATATATTTAAGCCAAAATCATTACTCTGTAGTAACAGGGAGCAATGGTCAAAACATTATTCACTGAAATAGAATACAAACTTAGAGGATACAAAACATATGAAATACAAAAATAACCGCCACACAGGATGGATTAAAACAGCAGCTGAAGGATGATGGCTAAGCAGTCATTTACTTATAAAAGTTAAATTGAAGTTTCCCATCTTTTCCAGAGTTTCTCCTTTGGGGGTGGTTTTGTACCCCTCCACCCCAAGACATCTGGCAGCATTTTATAATAATCACGTACTATAAATAATCACTAGAGGGAATGCTACTAGCACTAGCAGGTAGAGGCCAAGGCTGCTGATAAAAATCCTATAATGTACAGGGTAGCCCTCCCACAACAAAAAATTATCTAGGCCAAAATGTCAATAGAGCCCTTGTTAAGAAGCCCTACTTTACACTGATAAAACTGAAAAGCCTAGTGTCAGTCATGAATTCTTTACAATAATGTGTAACTAATACACATAAAGCAATGCAATTTCAATATCCAACTATAATACAGATAGAACTGTCAAGAATATAGATATATCCTATTGCTACTCACCCACAATCTTTCCCCCTCCTTCCTTTCCCTCTACTCTCCTGATCCTTGCTCCTCTCATACTTCTTTTAAGCCACCTTCCCATTCCAAAACCTCCAATTCTTCTGAGAAATAAAAAGAAACAGAAAACATTGACTTATCTATGCTGCCTGAGGTCTAGAACTATTCAAGAGTCATGAGTCTGATATATGATCATGAAGCTCGTCAATACTGTTTTTATTTAAAAATGAATGCTATAAAGAACTTTGTCATCCTTTCCCAGGACTGCCTCAAAAGGTTGGGAGACGTGACCTATAACTCAACACAAAATCTCCTTGTTTCCAAATCAATACAAAATATCACTTTTTATGTTTCTAAACCATTACGAAAAATCTACTCACTTGTGAGAATTCATCAACACGAAGAGAGTTCCAAAAGTTCACTCATTTCTATGTGATACTTATATTCGTCAGCTGCATTTATTAAACATCTACTAGCTTCCTTTTTTATGAATCTCTTTTAAAACTCATTTTAATACTCCCAGATTTAGAAAGCAAGTCTACTTTTAACCTATTTGTATTTTTCATATTTAAGTCTTGACATTTTCATTCAACTACATTCATATGGCAGCATTTCAACACCTGTATCTCAGCATACTTTGAACCATTTTTTATATTCTTCTCTATAATTTGTCCAATTTCATAAAATATTTTTGGAAGCACAATTTACAAAACTCCTAGTAACAGAGGAAGTACAGAAATACATCATCTCTACATGGATAAGCCCAGATTCAGAATTTATTTTTAATACATTTCTTAAGAATTATACAATATCTAAATTATTTTTCACCTAAAAAGGTAATCAAGGCTAGATAAAATATGCATACGGCACATGATCAACTAAATGTGGCAGTTTGAAAGATGCCATTTTAGGTAATCATGTATATAGAAAGATCTGTTATAAAAATTTTGGAGATAGAAACAAAATTGAATAGTGTCAGAGTGACTTATTCATAAGGGACTCTTAAACATATCTGGAAAAAAGGAAAAAACCATAGCCAAATACACTATTATTATGCCATAGAAAAATCTATTGTTGAAAATATATACAAATTGGTCCAGTCTCCCATACATCCAAAAGAAGGTAGGAATATTTTCAGTAAAATATTTGAATAATAGTTTAAAATTCACTGTATTATATGAGCTAGACTAGTGATTTTTTCTTTATATAACTTTTTAAAAATTGCTTCAGGGCACTATACCTTCATAAAGCTAGCATATACTCAATGCTTAATAATGCAGAAAAATTCACTCACCATTTCAGTGGTGTGCCTTCATATTCAAACCATATCTCACTAATGTCTTCTTGTCTCATAACCTTCTGAAAGTGCTTTTTCACTTTGTCAGTTACCAACGTCAAATAACTTACTCTTGGCAAAAGCAACTGAAATGAAAATTTGTAAAACCGTATTTATTTACTATTTTTTCAAAAAAATAAATACTAAGTAGGTTTTTGAATTTTAAGGAAAAACAGCCATGTTCTTTGCATTATTTTGAATATTCCACACAAACTCAACTGCTTTTTATAGTAATTCAAATACTAAAGGTTAAGACTTTAAATTTCTTATGAGGTCATTACTTTAAGTACAGTTTATAGCATAAGTACCTAGAATAAACAATACAAATCTATGTAAAATCTTTCTGTAATACTTTTATCCAAATAAAAATACAGTAATCAGATGTCATGCTATTTAGGATACTTGTTATTTCTATGAAATTAAAAAATTAGTTTGATTCACCTGAATTAAATTGTTTTGAGAAAATAATAAACTCAGTCCTAATGTACATCTTGACTTATCAATCAGATAAGTCTTCTCAACTGGTCCATCATGTTTTGATAATCTACCATGTATTAGCTTAGTTGTAATGAAGAACACTAAGACAAAGATAAATCTGTCCTTTCTATATGACGCTAAAATAAAGGTAAAAAAAGTTTTCAAAAAAGTACTTACAAAAATACTTCAGTGTAGCTACAGAAAAGACTTTAAAAGTCCAATAGAAATTTTTATTTGAAGAATAGGGGCCCACTATGATACCATGAATAAAAGATGGCACAATGAGAAGCTATCCGAGGAATATTCTAGCAGTGGTACGTAAGAGACTGAAAGAAAATTATAAACTGGAAATCTGTTAAGGAAATATTACATGAAGGGATGAGTGTGAAGGAATGGAAAGATGAAAAAGGTATGGAAATCAGAACAGATTTTAGTTATTACTGAATAAGAAACTGAAAGAAAGAAAAAAGTTAAAGATGACCATTGAGATCCACACTTAAATCTTTAAAGGGCAGTAAGGCACAAGTTTAAGGTATAATGCTGTAAAGTGATCCTGCCACTGTCCAGCAACTCCCTCAATTCTGTCTTTATGAAGCCTAGGCCTACTTGGACTTTGGAGAGAAAAATCTAGGAGGGAATGCTGGACTAGGTAAAGCCTCAACTGGCATAGTTATGAAGGCCATCGTTGTTTTTCTCCCACCAAAAGATACCAAGAAAGAAAACATAAGAACGCAATTAAGAAAATTGGTTAGAGTTTTATAAAGAACACACAGTGGATAAAAGGAGGAAAAAAAAAAAGTGGCAAAAATTCACGTTTTCCCAGAAGATACTCTAATTTCTTAGAGTATCTTGCTTTTCTAAGCTTCTGTCTTTTGCTGATAAAACTGTTTTGTTACTCTTTCAGGTGCTTTTGAGAGGTTAATTCTGCATCATTTTTCATGCTGTTTATTCAAAGTTATGTCTTTTGGTCAATAAACCAAGTAGAATTATGGGGCTGGGGAATACATACAAATGGAAATATTCTAAGTAAAGGACTAATATTTAATCACTGAAGATCAAGGTAACAGGTCCCAATTAGGCAAGAGAACATGACAGTGGTCCTGAGGACAACTGGTTACAAGGGGTAGGAAGTAGCTGGCATGCTCCGGTATGGAATAAAAGGTACTTATTAATACTAGAAACAAGCTTTTGGATAGCAATGTGGAGTCAACAAAATAGAAGTTCCTCTTTTATAAAGAAATAACCAGAATGTAGATTAGGGAAGAAAAGAAAAAGGAAACTAATACTGTGTAGAAGAAAAAGCACTAGTTGTTTTACAGAAAATAGTATCACCTCTATTTTACATGCAGTTTAAATAACTTCCCAAAATCACATTCTATTAAATAAATGGCAAAAAAAAAAAAATGATTCACTAAGATCAGAAATGACAGAATCAAATATAGATGTAACACGGATATGTCTAAGAAATTAAATCAGCATGATTAAATAGCCATTTTTTAAAAATAAATAATTATACAGTTGACCCTTGAACAACGTGGTAATTTGGAGTGCCAACACCCACACAGTTCAAAACTCCACATATAACTTTTGACTCCCCCAAAAACTAACTACTAATAGCCAACCACTGACTTTACTAATAACATAAATGTCAATTAACAGATATTTTGTATGTTATATGTATTTTATACTGTAGTCTTACAATACAATAAACTAAAGAAAATGCTATTAAGAAAATCATAAGGAAAAGAAAATACATTTACAGTACTGGGCTATAAAAAAAAATTTTTTTTTAAAAACCAGCGTAAGCACATCCACACAGTTTAAACCTGTTAAGAGTCAACTGTGATCTATTTGTCTAATAAGTTCTATACTAGTAAGTCCAGAACTTTTAACTTAAAATGTGTGTTGGGCATTAACTGGTAATCTATTCTACAGAGAATATTAACATATTAACTGACAGAGGTTATAAGAAAAGAGGACACATCAGGACTGATGAGCATGGATAACAGCTTCTGATTTTGGGGTGCTGTACTACATGTCTAGGGTTCAAAGGTGCTGAAAAGTCCACAAATGATTTTCATGAAATGAAAACTTCTCTACAATAAGGAATGAGGAACATTAAAATATAAACTCCATTAAGACAGGATTTGTGTTGGTTTTGTTCACTACTACATTCCAAATGCTCAAACTAGTGTCTGCTTTATAGTAGGCACACAATAAATATTTGCTGAATGAATCGGAGATCCCAAACGTTAAATGACAAAAAGCCAAAAACGATAATTCACAAAGAATTTTCATTCTTAAGATAGAATCTAAACTGAAATGTACTTGGGTCTTCTGTTCTAAATTGGCCTTTTGGGGGCACCTGGGTGGCTCAGTGACTGAGTGCCTGCCTTTGGTTCAGGTTGTGATCCCGGGGTCCTGGGATGGAGTCCCACATCAGGCTCCTCACAGGGAGCCTCCTTCTCCCTCTGCCTACATCTTTGCCTCTCTCTTTGTATAAAATCTTTAAATAAATGAATAGGCCTGTTAGCATAATCTGTAACTAACATAAATACCTATAGGAGCATTTAGAAATAACACTAAGATTTGATAATCACTATACTAAAATAAATGTAGATACAACTTATCTAATAAATATTTAAGTAAAAATGGAAAAAAAATACATTAAGATCACCTCCTCTTGTTTTCTATATCCAGATAGTACCACTCACTGATTTTTTTGGTGTAGCTGATGGGTTTGTTTTAATTATGGTAAAATACATTTAGCATAGCATTTGTCATTTTTGCCATTTTTAAGTGTATAGTTCACTGGCATTAAATACATTCACACTGCTGTGCAACCATCACCACTTTATCCATCTTCAGAATTTTTCATCATCCCAAACTCAAACTCTATGCCAATTAAATAGTAACTCCCCCAATTCTTCTCTTCCCCAAGCCCTTGGACAATTCTAGGTACCTCATGTAAGTAGAATAATGAAATATTTGGCTTTTTGTGTCTGGCTTGTTTCAGTTCCATTAGTTTCTTTGAGGTTAAGTTCTTTTAATATGAAAAAGATTAGCCCCCTCTGGGGAAACTGTCAGCTATATGGAATCTATTGTTTTCTCATTCTTCATTTACCACTATCATGTACTCAGTGAGTACTACACATTTGATTCATTTTTTTTCTATATAGCTTGTAAGGAATACATGTTTTATATAGCTGTATCGATTACCTATGTTTCTGAAAAAGGCAGCTATAATATTATTTATGCCAAACCCTATTGTGTCCAACAACTCTCAATTCTAAAATTGGTGACTTATTTTACCTAGCACAAAAACAGAATTAAAATATATGAGAATTCTGTTCCATTTCAATGTGTGAGGCATCATAGCAGGCAATGAAGATAGAGCACTGAATGAAACAAGAGCTTTCACAGAGCTAACACACTAGAAAGATAGTCAAAATAAAATTACAAATGTGATGAGTGCAAGGAGGACTAAAGAATGTCACAAGAGCAAGCAGCAAAGGAATTTAACTTCATCTGGGGGCCTAGGGAAATCCCTGACAGGAAGTCTATGTTAAGGCAACAGCTAGGAGGTAAAGAAGAGGGAACCAAACATGGGTGTTGTGGATGTGTGGTTGTGAGTAGGGGTGGGAGATCCTGCTGCTCACCCCAGACAGAGGAAACCACGAGAAGGCATGGGATGAATTCAAAAAGAAAAAGACTGGCACATCTGAGGAACCAAAAGAAGTTGAAAATGACAGGAATATAGAGGGTTGAGGCAGAACAGCACTGAAAAAGCAAGGGACCAGACTACAGAGAACGCTGTAAACTACATGAAGCATTCTGAAGATGATGAAAGCCTACAAAAGGTTTTGGGCAGGCAGGTGACAGGATCAGATATGTGTTTTGAAAAGATTACTCCAACTGCAAACTGAAAATGTTGAAAGAAGGCAAGAATGAAACCAGGGAAATTGCTTAGTACTAGGAAATCCTACCAGTTTTTACACGGTGGTCTAAACTAGACTTAGCAATGTGTGTGAAAGAAACTGGGTAAGTTTCAGAGATATGTGAGATGTAAAATCAGATGGACTAAGTTACTGACTGTCTGGAATATGGAAGAAGGAAACAACAAGGATGAGTCCTTTCTTAATTACTGGTAAGAGTAATTAACTAACTGGGTGATAGGTCTACTTTCAAAAACAGGAAGGAATTATGGCAGATGACATTCTGTCTGGAGGTAACAATGATGAGTAGTTTCAAACACAGTCCGTTAGATATCCAGCAGACATATAGGTCTGGAACTCAGGAGAAAAATCTTGGGAGTTGTCAAAATACGCTTAACAAAGAGATAAAAATGAACAACTCCAGAGGGGGGAAGTGAAGTGGGGGCGGGGGGATGGGGGAAGGCCCCAAGGAATGCCAACATAAAGGAATAAGCAAAAGGAGGGAGATGTGGCAAAGGAGACCAAACAAACAAACAAACAAAACAACCCAGAAAGGTAGAAGCAAAACCAGAATGATGAGACACTGCAGAGCAAGAGAGAACAGTGTCACAAAATGGAGAAAACAACCAACAACAACATCAAAATACCACTGGGAGATCAAGCAAATGAAAATTCAAAAACAGACTCAAGGTTTGGCAAAAAAGAGGTCATTAGTGACTTCAAGAATGGTTCTGTTGGAATAGTGTGAAACTCACTGCAGTAAAGTAAGTAGGAGGTGGAAAGGAGACAACAAGTACAGACAGCCTTTTTAATAAATTTGGCCATGAAGGGTAAGCAAGAGCATGAAAGAGAAATGGGGAAACAGAGGGTTGTTTTAGGGTATGAAGAATTTAAGATAATATAAATGCTGCAAAAAAAGGAGCTGGTAGGTAGAAGTTAAAAGTAAAAGAAAGAGAGAAGGCAGAAGAATATCAGAAACCACTAGCTTCCTGAGAAGACCATAGATGGGATCCAGAGCACAGAGAGAAGGCTGGACCTCGCCTACGAGGAAGGACACCTCTTCCATTAAAACAAGAGAGAAGGGGCACCTGGGTGGCTCAGTGGTTGAGCATCTGCCTTCGGTTCAGGTCATGATCCCCGGGGCCTGAGATCAAGTCCCACATCGGGCTCCCCACGGGGAGCCTGTTTCTCCCTCTGCCTGTGTCTTTACCTCTCTCTGTGTCTCTCATGAATAAATGAGTAAAATCTTTAAAAAACAAAACAAGACAGAAATCAATGTGTGTGAGTGCAGATACATTCAGAAGACTTGGTGACAGAAGGCTAAGGAAGCAGGAAGAGAGGTTACCTCTTAAGAGTGAAAAATAAGGTCAGGCTCAGAGAAATAGCCTTGAAGAAGAACAGACAGCTGACTAAGTAAACATAAAAGGACTACTGTGTAATGTTTAGGGTCCACTCAGATTTATGACCATCTGCCTGACTGCATGATTTCCTCTTGTGTAACAAGTCACAAAATATAAATGCAAACTACTATGTATGTTTTTATATTAGATAATCTAAATGAAAGGCAACAGTTTAAATGAATATAACAGAACCAATAGAAACTGAAAGCTGCCTAGCTTCTAACAATTTTTCTTTCTAATATTCCCTGCAAACTAAGATAAAATTTTCTGACATAAATATGGGATGTAGGCTGAAAGATTTATGCAGAGGCAACAAAACAAACTGCAGAAATAAACATAAATATATTTAACATTCCATTCCATTGGAAAGACTCTTTGAATATTAATTTAATTTATAAATTTGGTATGAGTAAATATTTTAAAATCTAGTTTCTAAGAAATAAAGAATAAGCACTATAAGAAGTAAACTGTAGAGGTATCTGGCTGGCCCAATCAATACAGCTTGTGACTCCTGATCTCAGGGTTTTGAGTTCAAGCTCCATGTTGGGCATACAGATTATTTTAAAAATAAAATCTTTAAAGAAAAAAAAAACTACGTTCTCATTCACCTATCCTTTCTACACATCCACCTGAATACAAGTGGACTTTTCAAGGTCATGGTGATAATCCTGTTATATCACCTCACCTGAGCTTTGAGGTGTCTGGAAAAGAGGTTTACTGGCTCCCGGGCTATGATATTTTTACCTCATTCCTTCCAGAATCCTCAAAATATTATAATTATTATAAACTAAAGCAATTAAAAATACTTTCAAGCACAATTTACAACCAATTCACATGTAAACTAAAACCAGATTGGCACCACCATTCTCATCTATAATTCTAAGACTAACTCCTGCTGTTTTTGTATATTTTCCTTCTGCATGTAGTAACTTATGAGTAAGTGTGTACATGTGTAAAAAGCAAAATCTGGATGATGCTACATGGTTTTAAACTGCAGCTTTTTGTTTAATATTTATTATATGTCTGTCACCCAGTATTTTTCAAAAACATAAAAATAATTACTATGAGTTTCTTTTGGGTGAAAAGTTAGGGAAAAATATATTTAAAAAAACAATTACCAATTAGACAAAACAACTGTCTTCCTCCTACAGATATCCCCAATAATTGTTGCCATTTTCAATTCAACTAGAAGCAGCTAGAAAACAACTTACACTCCACTCTCACAACAGTCTTCATATTTAACAGATTCATACATAAAGAAGGAGAAATACTATATTTTTTACTTGGATATTTTTTAACTGCAGGAAGCTGTCAAACACCGTATTCTGACTTAACAGTAAAGAGACTTAAATTACATATTTCTCATTTTTACTACTTTGACCAACTAGACACATATATTCCTTCATTTAGATACTCTAAGAATGCCATAAGAATGCCATTTGAGGTTAAAAGTTTTAATTAAAATAACAGAAACTAGTTTGGAAACAAAAAACATAAGTGATATCCTAACATATATTACAGAAGGAGAAGGAAAAAAAAAGTGAAATTCTTCTAAAAATAAACTGTGACCACATTTTGTTTTTAACTATGGAAATTTTTCTAAAGGCAGAAAACTGTTGAGATTTCCAAAGTTAAAATGACTCAAAAGTATATATTCACTTCCAATAACCTGAATACTAGTAACAAAATACTACCCAATTTCTCTAAAATTATTTTCAGTAAGAAAACCCAAAGAGACGATTTAAAACAAAATCCCAACAGAATGTATGAGGTTTTCATATACTGAGTGTCTACCACTTGTATGACCTATGCCAGATGCTGAGGATACACAGAGAAAAATGAAACTGTTCCTGTACCCAAAAAGTGAGTATATATGGGGCTCCTTAAGTAGCTTCCTCCACCAGGCTGACTTCCCATGGCTGAAGCAGGCTGAGGAGCAGCACTACCTCTCAAACAGACAAGGGAGAAAGCAAAGGGCAAGCTTTATTAAAGTGAAACGAGAAAGTCCAACACCACAAATACATTTCCACTGTTCCGGATCCTCCTAGGTAAACAATATCATATGTACCCAAGACAAAACTAAAATAATGATAACTGAGAGTATCTTTACCTATTAGGGCCTATTCAGTAAAAAAGGCAGGATACTAGTATTTCTGATTGACAAATGCTTAAGTTTGAATTATATGTGCATTTAGAAAAGGAGAAAAAAGGCAGGCTAAAATCAGAAGACACTTGATATTTTTTTAAGAACAGATGACACTAATTCAAACCTGTAAGTCTACATTCAGCAATTTGGTATTAAATAACATTTTATATAAATAATATACATCAGCTTATCAACATATGAAAACACACACAATCATATGTTCACTGAGCTATAAAAAATAATTTGGTAAACAGTTACTTGGAACCATTTAAATACAGAAAAATCAAATCTGAGCCTATTATTTTCAAAATTGTTCCTATAGCACATAATTTATGATTCCATTATCACATATTTTATATGTATATATTCATGAGAAAAAAGAAAGTCAAAGGTCCCATAATCAACATGTCAACAGTAGTTTTTTTTCCTCTGGGTGGCAGTATTAGAGGAAATTTTTATTTCCTTCCTTTTGCTGATCTGTGTTTTCTAATTTTTTCCATAATAAGCAAGTATTAATTGTATATACAATGTTGGATAACAGCCTCCAGGTTCTTAGCTTCACTTAAAAAAATGGACAAAATTAGATATCCTATTTTCTATTATCAACATACTTACATAATATGGTTCTGCCTCCCTTTCAGTTATCTCATCCTGATACAGGGTGAAGCAAGTTGGAATTCGTCCAAACCACACATCTCGAAGCACATCTTTGTCATCTGTCATTCTTCCAGTGGTTAAAGCAGTACATATAGGCTAAATTCTTTTTTCATCCAAAGCCAAACTGAAAATAAAATGAAGAGCATTAGTCAGATTCTTATAAGGATAAATGAATATGTTCTAAAACAAAGATTATAGAAAAAAATGAATGCCATAAAGATTACTGACTTCAAAAAATTGTGATCAGCATTCTTTAAATGAATGTAAAATCAGTACGAATTTTAAATGCAGAGATATTATTTAAAAGGATCATAGAAGTAAATAATTCAAAATTACGTGTGCTAACTCATGCAACTAATGAACCACAGCCAAAGTGAAGCTATACTTGTTTCATTCTCTCAAGCCCCAGGAGAGTCTATAGCTCATCTAAAGTGAAGTCTTTCTTTACCCTTATAGCCCTTATACCCCAACTCCAAACTCTCATCCCTACAATTATCCCTGCCCTACCTAATATAGTCAATCTCTACTACTCTCCATCCAGATAGTTTGCTCCTGCTGGAAAAAACAACAACCACAACAAAACTCCCTCATCCTGGTAAGAAATCTTTGTATAGATCTATTTCCACTCTAAATTTTACCCTGTCCATGGTTTGAATCCACCAATATTTCCAGTCTTACTTACTATATTTCTTATAACTGGCAATTTAAATACCTTGCTCTCTGTCCTACCATCTCCCTGACTAATACGCTCATTCTCACCTGTTCAAATCCTACCCACTCTGCAAACCCGGCTCCCGATCCTCTGCCACAATGAGTAGTAGTAAATGTTTCTACTCTGAACTTAAAATATTCCCTATACCACAAAGATAGCAGTAAATCTGCAAACTGAAATATTTGGGGGATGACAGAAGAATACGACTTTTGACCTCTGTAAAATCCAAGTGTCTTTCAGCACTAATATTCCACAACTGGGTAACAACACAGTATACAGTATCAGTAAATGTAGAAATAAACAATGTCGGTACCTGGATACTGAGATTCAATATCCTTCTACTCATATTTATTTTTATATATCCATCTTTCATAAACCAGCATATCCTATGGAAACATTTGAAATAACTGTATCAGTTTAGTTAAATACCAATTGCTAACACTGAATTATTCAAAGAGCTTTTTCTCTCTTTTCTTATCCACTAACCAATGCCAAGTGCATCAATACTACTATAAATTAATTAAAGAGAACGACTCAAGGAGAGTTCTAAATTTTGTATCATTATACTTAAGTGCACCTTAGAGGTCAACTGGATGCAATGTTATCTACACGGAAATAAACTGAAAGAGGTGAAAAAAAATCTGTCCAATTTTTTAGTATCAATGTAACAGTCAAACCAGGAACCAGGATAAACTTTATAAGACCACTAAAGTAACAGTGAAACCAGGATAACAGCTCTGGTCACTGAGTTACTGAACTGAGTCTAGTGCTCTTTCCAACAAATTACAGTGTTTTAATTTTTATTGAAGCATATCCATAAAAGTCACCATTTTAAGCGAACGATACAAGCATTCACACTTCATATATAATTCCACCCTGATATGCTTCCAATTCAAACACAGTGAGTTTCTCTGCAGAGAATTCCCAAGTTTACTATCACACAAAAGTAACTCACTGAAAATAGAAAAGATCTCACTACTTCCTGATTATATTAATATTTTGATCATTATGAATAAATTTACTGATGACAGGAAATAATGAAATTTAAGTTATAGCAAATAAAACTCTCAAGTTGACTCTAGAGACGCCTGGGTGGCTAAGCAGTTGAGCGTCTGCCTTTGGCTCAGGGTGTGATCCTGGAGTTCCGAGATGGAGTTCCCATATCGGGGTCCCTGCATGGAGCCTGCTTCTCCCTGTCTCTCTGCCTCTGTCTCTGTCTCTGTCTCTCTCTCTCTCACTGTGTCTCATGAATAAATAAAATCTTAAAAAAAAAGGTTGAATCTAATACAAAGCTGGTAAGCAGTAGTTTATGTAAAACTATGACACACCCAATTAACCATTAGCTACAAAGATTCCTCTCACTCACACAAGAAAAAAACTTGAGGCAAAGGGCTACTTTCCTAAGAGATTTTAAGTACAATTTTAAAGTTGAAAGTCACTATCAGTATTGTCACATTGGATAATTTTTCTGCCTCAGAAAAAAATAGAAAATATAATTTAAAAGAAAATTAAAAATTAAAGTGGGTATGGCCACCGAAGTAAAGTCCATTTCTACCAGATCTTCCCTTCTCTCCAACCACTGTCCTCTCCAGAAGGAATAATAATCCGATTTGTCAAATTCCAACACACGCCTTTTTTATTAATACGTAGGGGTCACCATAAATAAAAATATCAAATATTGATATTGGCTCCCTTCTCTCCCCGCTACTCTACCAGATGACAACACTTGACCACCCTGTTATTTCTTTCCATGGCATTTTCTTCTGCTTCTTCCTTTCATGTGTCAGGAACAGTAAAAAGAAAGGACTAATGGCTCCCTTTTCTCTTTATTTCTGGGAGTCTCTCCCCAACAGAGATAGAAGCATGGACCTATCTCTTACTGGCTTTACACCTAAAATCCCACTGCAGAACTTTGACAACCTGGGCTGGAATATAAGACTTTACCAAAGTTCTGACATAGGATTTTAGGCACAAAACCGGTGACAGTACCTTATTTCCCATATGCCATTGTTTCTTATGTATATATGCCTTGCAGGACCTCAAGGGAAGAACTGACTGAGCCAAGGAAGCTGAAGGTGTAATGTGGCAGTCGATATAAATTTTACGAAACAAGAGAAACTTCTAAACAGATTTATGAAAACTTCAAACACAGCTACTAACTGCGTCAAAAATACACAGATCCAAATTTATAACAACGTAAAATGTTAGTCATTCAATATTCATCTGAATATGAATAAATATTCATCTACAATGAATTATGTAAGAAAGCATGCAAATACACTCAACTAAAAAATGTGTCAGAAAACTAAAAAATGTGTCAAAAAACTAGTTGATACATGGATAAAACTAAAGGATGTGAGTATTCCATCAACTTTTTTTAAAACAGAGGCAGGAAAACAAAGGTGATGGTAGTGACCATAACAATCATAACTTTTTAAAAACCTCAAGCATTGTCCAGAGGATATTATCTCCTAATCTACTAAATATACCATAAACTTTCATATCTTCTCCATGGCTCTGCTAATGATGGTGGTTCCTTACCCTAAAGTAGCCTTCCCTAGCTTGTCTTCTGACTTAAACATCTTTCAAGACCCAGCTGAAGATAGCCTTTCTTTTATGCGTAACTCAGGTAAAATCTTTCTTTTCTCACTGCACTTTTACTTTTCCTCTACTACAACACTCTATAAGCTTACAGTAAAGATTGTTTATCTCTGATTTCCGATCTCATGTTCTTTTGCATCTTTTTTTAAGATTTATTTATTTATTCATGAGAGACAGAGAGAGAGAGAGAGAGAGAGAGAGAGAGAGAGGCAGGCAGAGACACAGGCAGAGGGAGAAGCAGGCTCCATGCAGGGAGCCCGACATGGGACTAGATCCCGGGTCTCCAGGATCAGGCCCTTGGGCTGAAGGCGGTTGTAAACCGCTGAGCCACCCGGGGTGCCCTGATCTCATGTTCTTTTGTTTGTCATACTGGTTGCCAACATCCCTTCCAACTCCAACATGTCCATGGTTATAATTAAATGCTATTTTATAAAAGCTTTCAGAAGAAAGAAAATATTAATATGTTCTATAGTGTTCAGGGAAGAATTTAAAAGATATGGCACTTGAGGAAGTGTAGAATATAGAAGAATGAGTATATTCAGAATGAGTAGAATATTCTATAAGTAAAATAATGGAGTAAAGACAACAAGTATTCCAAGCAGGGCAAAGCAGCATCAACAAAGGCAGAAAGTCTGTAGGAGCAATGTACATGCCAATTTTTTAAGAAACTCTAAGTTGAAGGAGTAGTAGCTAATGAAAGAGCTGACACTGTGACATTTTAATATCACCTATGATTCTAGGCAAGTCACTTTATTACAATTCCCTTATCTACAAAATTCATCAGGTTGTTCTAGGAAAAAAAAATCAACAGTGTTTGACATGGTACTGGACACATAGTAAGTGCTGAGAAACAAAAGCAATTATTATTTCTTTAATGTCAAATCTGTAAATGTGAAATTAGACTAGGTCATGAAGCACACTAAATAGAAACTGGGTTCTCAATTTCATCCAACAAGCCTACAAAGCCTGTAACATTTTATAACAGATTAAAACTGCTACATAGTAGCAAGTGTACAAGGAGATCCCAAGTCTGAGAGAGGGAAGTAGCCAGGAAGTGATTTCAACACTAAGGCACATAATAATGAGTTGCCTGACCTCGACTGGTAACAGTGGAGAGATGAGAGTCCGATATGAGGTCTTTCCAAGGAAGAATGAATAGAAAGTTAATGAAAAACTGGCTGAGGGATAAGAACAAGGACGATTGGGAAGATTTAAATCCCAACAGTAAACATACAGATAGATAAAGTTAAGGGGTTTTGAAATCCCGTGGGTTTAAACCCAGACTTCCACCTACAAGCAGTGTGTCCTAGTATCCTGACATCTTTGAACTTTGTGTTTGTAAATTTCACAAGGCTGTTGGGTGTTTAGCATCTCGTGACCACTCAATAAATGGCATATGTATTTAATACATGGTTCCTTCATGCCTCCATGGCCTATCTGCTTAAACTCCTCATCTTCTTCTTTTTGGACAATTCTTAATCCTCTTTTAAGAGTCAGCTTAAACTGTTGGTGGGAATGGGAACTGGTACAGCCACTCTGGAAAACTGTGTGGAGGTTCCTCAAAGAGTTAAAAATAGAGCTACCCTAGGACCCAGCAATTGCACTACTGGGGATTTACCCCAAAGATGCAGATGCAGTGAAAAATCGAGACACTTGCACCCCAATGTTTATATCAGCAATGTCCACAATAGCTAAACTGTGGAAGGAGCCTCGGTGTCCATCGACAGATGGATGGATAAAGAAGATGTGATCTATATATATACAATGGAATATTACTCAGCCAGTAGAAAGGATGAATACCCACCATTTGCTTTGATGTGGATGGAACTGGAGGGTATTATGCTGAGTGAAGTAAGTCAATTGAAGAAGGACAAACATACGGTTTTATTCATTCAGGGAATATAAAAAATAGTGAAAGGGATTAAACGGGAAAGGAGAGAAAATAAGTGGGAAATATCAGAGAGGTGATAGAACATGAGAGACTCCTAAATCTGGGAAAGGAACAGGGGTAATAGAAGGGGAGGTGGGCGGCAGGGGGTTGGGGTGACTGGGTGACAGGCACAGAGGGGGACACTTGATGGGATGAGCACTGGGTGTTATGCTATATGTTGGCAAATCAAACCTCAATAAAAAATATACAAAAAAATAATGTAAAAAATAGAATAAAATAAAGTACTATTACTATGAAGACTATTAAAAACAAACAAAAAGAGTCAGTTTAACATCAGTTCCTTGGGAAGCTTTCCACTAAGCAATCTCCCATCTAATTACTTCTACAACAGCATGTTATAACCATGCATTGTGGTTATGTTTATCTTATCTGTCTCTTGCCTGTCACCACATTGAACTCTGAGTTCACTGACAGCAGAAGTAGTCATATTTACTTTGTATCCTCAATATTAGCATAATTAGCACACAGCAGGCTCTGGAATTTTTGTTAAACAATTGGAAAATGTATAAAATATATAAATTGAAAAGTTATACTACCTACTTAAGAAACTTTTCCATCTAAAGTCTTCTCCAAATCAGTATAATCACACTTTAAATTCAGCAAATTTCATTACTTTACAAGAATATTTTCCCCTGTCATATGAACACTACACTTTCATCACCGTGCATCCAATTATTAGAAGGCAATGTTTTGGAAGCATAGAAATCACAACCCATGATGCAGTCTATTGGAAGTAAGCTTCTGGAGGACAGGGCTACTTCCTGATTGCTGCATTCTCTGCAAATTAATTCAAGGCCTGGAACAAAGTAGGTTCCCAGCCAAAGATATTTAGCAAACAGCACAAGGAGTATAATAAAAATATAATGCACAATTAACTAGTCTCTTTCACACTACAAACCATGAAAGGCTAACCTATTATCTGAAATTATTGTGCTGACAAAGTACCCAACTACCTAGAAATTACTTAAAATATCAAATAACTACTAGTAGTAAATTTGAAAACATCTAAAAATAATGTATGCTGGCTGGTCTCTTTTTAAATTGATGTACACTAACCTCAAGAGTAGAACTTTGAGTACTGGCCAGCGTTCCTACATTTCCGGAGTCCATTTATTCTCTCACTGTCCTTGATCACCATTTTGTACCTCCTCTCTCCTCTAATTTTCACATCACCTTACTCACTCTTCCAGCTAATGAACTAGCTTTTTATTTCCTTCAGGTCACTAAGGATCAATGGTTATCAACAGGGGTTTTGATATATAGCCCAGCTCCCCCCAATCCCGGGGGGGAATAGCTCCTAAATCTCTCCAACCTTCTCCAAAGTCGAAGCGCACCAGGACCCAGTCCTTGAACCACGCCTTTGGAGAGCTCTCATGGCTTTAAACATCCTTCATACATTAACAACGCCTACATTTATATCTTCAGCCCAGACTTCTCTTCTGACCTCCAGTTTTACATACACTACGCAACACTGACATTTCATTTGAAAACTTAGGATGTGCAAACAGAAACTGTTTCACACCTTCCCCCCTCATCTCCTATTACTCTATGGTCTTCCCCAAATCACTAAGTGGTAATTATTCTTTAGTTGCTAAAGCCATAAATCTTGGGAGTCATGGGCAGCCCCGGGTGGCTCCACAGTTTAGTGCCACCTTCAGCCTCGGGCATGATCCCGGAGTCCCGAGATCGAGTCCCACGTCGGGCTCCCTGCATGGATCCTGCTTCTCCCTCTGCCTATGTCTCTGCCTCTCTCTCTCTCTGGGTCTGTCATGAATAAATAAATAAAATCTTAATATATATATATAATATATATATATATATATATATTATATATATATATATGGAGTCATCCTCCACACCTCTTCATCTCTATTGCTTTAGCTTAGACACAAGTCCGGAATCTGGCCATGCCTCACTGTCACCACTATTATTACACCGATCCAAGTCACCTTGACTTATAACCTGGATAAATGGCATAGGAAGGGATCTCATTATTTCCGCCCTTGCTACAGACAGCACAGCATCAGAAAGATCCTTCTAAACACAAATCAGATCAGTTTACTCCTTTACTCAAAGCTTACTATCTCATTCAAAGTAAAAACTAAAGCTCTTACAAAGTCCTACAAGGCTGCATATGATCTGACCGCATTGATGATCTACCTCTCCCCCTTTCTGCTCACTCTGTTCCAGCCAAACTAGTTGGTAGGCTCCTGGCTCGGGGACTTTGCGGTACAGGACACACTTCTTTACCACTTTCAGGTCTCTGCTCAAATATTCTCTTTTCTAAAGCCACCACTGCAATTTCCTATGCACGCCACCAACATTCCTCGTTGAAGCCTTTATTCCTTCTCTCTCGCACTTTTCACCACCCGACCTATTTTTAGATTAATTTTTACATTAATGTGTCCTTCTCCCTCCCTCAAAGTGAGCTCCATGAAGGTACGAATGTGTACTGCTTTGTTCACTGGTTACTGTCGCATTTACTATTTGTGCAATGCCTGGCACGTAACAGGCACTCAGTATTTGTTAAACTGATAAAGCAGCCCTACAGTGGAGTATGTAAATCATTCTAAATACTCATGATCATGGGGATCCCTGGGTGGCTCAGCGGTTGAGTGAGTGTCTGCCTTCGGCCCAGGGCGTGATCCTGGAGACCCGGGATAGAGTCCCACGTGGGGCTCCCTGCATGGAGCCGGCTTCTCCCTCTGCCTGTGTCTTTGCCTCTTTTTCTCTCTGGGTCTTTCATGAATAAATAAAATCTTATAAATAAATAGATAGATAGATAGTCATGGTCATATGGTGCCATTCTGCTCATCTCGGTCTTTCATGAATAAATAAAATCTTATAAATAAATAAATAAATAGTCATGGTCATATGGTGCCATTCTGCTCATCCCCACCCCCCTCGTTTTAACCAGCATATCTTGGAAGATCAGGGCGCACGCTCAAATCTAGCATAAAACTCTAAAATTCCCCCCTCAACTACTGTCAACTATTACCCTCGGCCCCACACCTTTACCTGCAGATGCAACAACATTCCATCAACAAACCCATCTGCGGCAACCACAGACCCATTCCGTTCAAGCCCCAGCCCGAAAGGCTCTGAGCCTCTTGATGCGGGTTCTGCAAGGCCTCGGGGGTCCAGCAAGCGGTCCCGAGACCTGCCGGGCCTCCCCCAACCCCCCAGAAAAAATCTAGAACGAAGCCGGTTTGGTTTCCCCTCCGTTCCTCCAGCTGCAGGGAGGATGCTCCGAAGATCGCCCAGGGCAGAAGAGGACGTGAAAGTTCTCGGCCAACAGAAAGAGAAAGGGCTCGGCGGGCGCTGATCAGCGCGACCGCGAAGACGGGGCTTCCTGGACGCCGTCGAGGAGGCAGACGGGGGCTCGCTCGCAGGCACCCGCCGGGCTCGGGCACAGTCCTCACCTGAGCAACTAACTGTTCCGCGGGCGGGCGGAGAGGCACGTCTCGGACCGAACTGCGGAGCCTCCGAGGAGGCGCAGGGCTTCCTACTCGCGAGGAACCGACACCTCTGCCCGGGGCGCGACACCGTCCGGGCGCCCCAAGGTCCCCGGGGCGGGGGCGGGGGGGGGGAGGGGGGCGGCGTCGGGGCAACCCCGCCCCCGCCCCCGCCCCCCCAGCGGCCGCCCGCCCCTCCCTCCCGCCACACCTACCTGGCACCTCCCCAACCCTCCCCTCCGGGCATTGCCCCCGACCCCGCGCACACACACGCGCACACACACACGCGCACACACACACACACACACGCGCGCGCGCGCACACCCTACCAGAAACGCCAGCTCCTTCCCCGGCGCCCCGCACCGCAGCAGACGCCCGGGTCCCGGGCCGAGGCAGGGCGGCGGCGGCGGCGGCGCACGACGCTCTGACACCCGGTCCCGCAGGGGCGCGCGAGCCTGGAGTCCCGAGAGCCCGCGCAGCCGCAGAAGGCAGCGCGGCGCGGAGGCCGGAGCCGAGCCCGGCTGCACTTCCGCCCGCCCGGGATCCTGCCGACACAACCCGCAGCGCCGCGGGGCCTGGGGAGCCCGCGACGCGTCCAGTCACCCTGGGCGCCCGGAGATGACGTCACGGGAGCCCACGTGGCCCGCGCTCCGCCCTCGGCCTTTCCGCCCAACCCGGCGGGCGGGGCGGCCGGAGCCGCGCTGGAGCATGCGCAGACGGAGCGGGGAGCCTGGCTGGCGGGGCGGGCGGCGCGAGTTCGAGCCCCCTGGCCGGTGGATGACGACCCGAACCCCCTTTTGTACGGGAGCTGGCGCCTTTGGCGCGGTCGCTGGTGTTCGAGGCGGCGGTGGGGTGGGGGGGTGGGGGGGGCTAATATAAGTTCTGTAGGAGTAGACAGTTTGAAAAGTACCGAGACGCTGCCCCCGTAGGGCTTGACCGCAGCATCCCTTTCCCGGCTTCCCAGGAGAATGCTAATCCGAGATGTTGATATTCTTTTTTTTTTTTTGATAATGAATTTATTTTTCATTGGTGTTCAATTTGCCAACATACAGAATAACACCCAGCGCTCACCCTCAGTGCCCGCCACCCAGTCACCCCCACCCTCCGCCCTCCTCCCCTTCCACCACCCCTAGTTCGTTTCCCAGAGTTAGGAGTCTTACATCTCAGATGTTGGTTTTCAAAGTGTTTTCTCGTCTGTTTTCGCGCTTGAGCTTCTCAACTTTTGTCAGACCCACGGCAGGGATTCGTGGCCGCATTTAGCAGAAGGAGACTGACTGCACGTGAGCAGGGAAGCCTTCCTCCAACCACCAGGGCACACCTGTATCTTTCTGTTGGTGGAAACAAGAGCAATTATCTTTAATTTAAGGCTTGCTCCCCAAGCCCTGTTGGAATTGCATCTATTCGTAAGGCTTAACTGGGCAATCGACATCTTTCTCTTAAATATGCAGGCCCTGCAACATGGTTCTGTACGTGCTGGGGACGCACTGTGCTGGGATTCAAAATAGGTTCCCGACCATTGGAAACTTTAAGGAAATCCTAATAGTAGCCACAGGATCCTCTTAAAGAGATGAAACTTCTTGTAGATGGACTAGCCCAGGGATTTTCAAAGGATGAGTCATGACCCCTTGGTGGGTCACCAGGTGGAGCCAGGGGATCGTGACTGGCATAAAAAGTAGAGAATTGGGGCATACTTCCCACTTTAAGGGTAGATGTCGTTTCCCGAAATTTGTACTTCGGAATGCATGTGGATAGGAATGTGAAATACATTTCTTGGTGTGGATAGCAGTCCAACAAGTCTGAGACACCATAGTCTGGTCCGCTCCACCTACCCAATGAAGAAATCCCCCCAAGAGTCTGCCATTGGCCTTTATTTTTAAGAATTTTTGGAATTAGGGTACCCCACTGTGTGAACCAGACTAATCTCATCTAGGATGAATGGGCCATGAAGAGCACCCTGTGACCTGAAGCCTTCTGGAGCACATCCTCTACACATATATTCTCTCTTTTTGTTTGCTCACTCTGCGCAGGTCTTACCAGAGATGGGGTCTTGCAGCTACCCAAAACACACTTCTGTCGGTTAAGTCCTCTTTTTTTTTTATGAAAGTCTTTTTTTTTAAGATTTATTTATTTATTTATGATAGACATAGAGAGAGAGAGAGGCAGAGACACAGGAGGAGGGAGAAGCAGGCTCCATACCGGGAGCCCGACGTGGGACCCGATCCCGGGACTCCAGGATCCCGCCCTGGGCCAAAGGCAGGCGCTAAACCACTGAGCCATCCAGGGATCCCCTGGTAAGTCCTCTTAATACATCATTCTCATTAGGCTGAGCCTGTGGCCTTTTTTCTTTGGTCTTAGAACTCCAGCCTTTGAAGGTCATCTGCCTATACCTCCCTTTTGCAGAACACCCACCTTCCCAATGGTAGCCAAAGCCGTATGGAATTGACTCAAATATATTCAAAATATTAGATGGACTTATGGGTGGATAGAGGAATGGGTGGATGGACAAATATGTGATAGTGCATAAAATGCTAATAGAATCTGGGTGGTAAGTATACAGGCATTCGCTGTAAGATTCTTTCAACCTTTGCTATATGTTTGAAGATTTGCTTAATAAAATGTTGGGGGGGGCGAAATTAGGAGAAACCCAGTAGGAAGAAAGTTATTACATTGAGCTAAAATCCAGCTTCCTATATCTTTTAAGAACTGACCCTATTTTCTTCCCTTCTCCCCTTGTCCTTTCCCAATTATGTGACTTCAACCCCTGTTCTGATTGACAGAATAGGATCTAACCCCTGTTCTGATAGACAGCACTGCAGATATGAAAAAAATAGCTCTCATGCTCCATAACTCACGTGAGGCCAATGACTGTCAGTTCTCTCAGCCAATGACGTACCTCTCCTCTGGGTATGGTCCAGTTCTCAGTGTCCCTATTAAAAAGCTGTATTCTTTCCCGTCTCATGATCATGCTCCTTGAGCAAAACTTTGGAATTAAGAGGGATCCTCCATTTGTTCTCTATCATTTCTCCTTGTTAACATTATGTCTTATCTCTCAGTCAGTGGCACTATAGCTCTCAAATTCTTGTTCTAGGAAGGTAACTTTGAAAGAGCTCTTTTTAACTGACCATTTCCCCCAAGCCTCAACTCATTCTGGGTTATTCTCAGGCAGCCATTTGAGTTGTGTGAACTTGCTTATAAAGTTCCTCTGAAATTCTGGATTCAAAGGAGAGACTCCAGACAAGTCTCTGTTTATAACATGCTTTCTTCTCTCCTCACTATCATAGTCTGTACTTGTAAAGTCTGGTTCTTATTCTTGCATGCCTTAGAGCTCGTAAGACTCACAGCTCCCACAGTTTTCTTTGCTCAGAATTTACTTAAATTGGCTTTCCTGGGAATCCCTGGGTGGCTCAGTGGTTTGGCGCCTGCCTTCGGCCCAGGGCGTGATCCTGGAGCCCCGGGATCGAGTCCCGCGTCGGGCTCCCTGCATGGAGCCTGCTTCTTCCTCTGCCTGTGTCTCTGCCTCTCTCTCTCCCCTGTGTCTTTCCTGAATAAATAAATAAAATCTTTAAAAAATATATTGGCTTTCCTAAACTCTAAGATGTCTCTATTATCCCGGTGAACTCTAATATGCCATTACTTCCAGACCCAAAGGTCTCATCTACTCTCTTTTCTCCTCCAATCTGATAGTTACGGAGGATGGATTAGTTAAGCCAAACTTGATTCTTCCGCTTCAGCTCTAGCTCCTCTGTGCCCCAACCATTAAACCTGTCTCCCCAACATCCTTCGCTTCTGGTTGGTTTCATTCTGCAGTTTATAGACATGCTGACGTGTGCTCTCATCCTATTAAAATCCTTCAGCACATTTTTCTTAAGCTATTAGGATAGCCTCTTAACTGATCTTCCTACTCCAGCCTTTTCTCCATCTATATTAGACTTTGATTTCAACCAGTATAGTCATCTCCACTTATCCACAGAGGATACGGTCCAAGACCCCCCACTGTGGATGCCTGAAACCACAGACAGTGTACCAAACCCCTATATATACTATATTTTTTCCTATACATCATACCTATGATAAGGTTTCATTTACAAATTAGGCACCAGGGATCCCTGGGTGGCGCAGCGGTTTGGCGCCTGCCTTTGGCCCAGGGCGCGATCCTGGAAACCGGGATCGAATCCCACGTCGGGCTCCCGGTGCATGGAGCCTGCTTCTCCCTCTCCCTGTGTCTCTGCCTCTCTCTCTGTGTGTGTGTGTGACTATCATAAATAAGTAAAATTAAAAAAATATTAAAAAAAAACAAATTAGGCACCATAAGAGATTAACAACAATAGTAGAACAATTATAACAATATACTATAATAAAAGTTATATATAAAAAAATAAATAAAAGTTATATAAACGTGGTCACTCTCAAAATATTGTGCACTCACCCATCTCATGATGATGTGAAATAATAAAATGCCCACATGATGTGATGAAGTGGGGTGAATGACACAGGCAAGGTGATGTAATATTAGGATGTGTTGACCTCCTTTCTGACAATGTATCAGAAGGAGAATGAATCATCTACTCCCAGACCTCAACTGACCACTGGTAACTGAAACTGCAAAAAGTGAAACCATGGGTAAGGGAGCACTAGCATGCAGTATTATGCACTCTCACCCTGTCACTCTGATACCTAGGACCTTTAACAATTCCTTCTGGGAAAATTCCTCGTTTATCCACATGATTACTTGGTTCCTCCCTCTTCCAGTACTCCCTGTTTCGCACTTCAAACTTTAACAGTGTCAAGCATTTTGCACTTCTGAGCACCCAGACTATGCTGTGCTTCTGTGCCATGGATCCCTCTGTCCTGTTGCCTGAAATGCTCCCCTTCACGACACCCTTCTTCCCTGAAATGTTATCGCCCACATCCCTTCTTCCCCATTTGGCATACACCACTCAGTACCCAAGACTCAGTTCAGGTATTAGAAAGTTTTCCCTGATCCACCCACTCTGGGCTAGGTGCTCTCCATGGTTTCCTCAATCTTTTTTTGAATCCTCGGTGCCAGTCAGGCATTCAATAAATGTTTGCTGAAATAAACTAACCTGAGCATGAGCTTTCTTCCATGATTTCCACCACTCTTAGGACCTAATTCTTCATCATAGTGTAGAGTTTAAGCAGGGAGCAGTGATTTCCTTTATTACTTTATCAATTTCAAAATTAGTAGGAAGGAAAGTTGAAAGGGATCAAGGTAAAGTGCCGTTAGCAGAGTGTGTATCCCCCAGTCACCCAGCAGTAAGGGTCTTCACCGCTACTGCATCCTGTCTCTATGCCAGTTTTCTTTTTTTTTTTAATTTTTATTTATTTATGATAGTCACACAGAATGAGAGAGAGAGGCAGAGACACAGGCAGAGGGAGAAGCAGGCTCCATGCACCGGGAGCCCGACGCGGGATCCGATCCTGGGTCTCCAGGATCGCGCCCCGGGCCAAAGGCAGGCGCCAAACCGCTGCGCCACCCAGGGATCCCTCTATGCCAGTTTTCTGATCTGTATGGGGAAACATGTCGTTGCTTCTTCCATCTAGCTGCACACTCTCTAGTGTATTCCCAGATCACAATCATATTT